GCTCGCGGGGATGCGTGCGGGACTGGGACCCGACCTCCTCGTTTCTGGAGCATAAATAGAGCATTTGCAGGCGGGTATGGGGAGGCCCCTCGGGAAGGGTGTCACAGGTGGGATGAGCCAGGTTAAGATTTCGACATTTTGAAACAATGCTAACCAAGGAGAGAGAGGGATCGGCCACATTTTATAACTAAAACAACAACAAAAGAAAAAATAGAAAGAGCTGCGCGTGAGAGACTCCGTGTACTGGTGGCCTCCTCGGTTCTGGCCGCCGCGCTACCTGAGGGGGGTGTTCAACTGCCATCGCAGCCAAGAGTGTGCGCGTGTGTGTGCACGTGTGTGTGTGTGATCGCACATGTGTGTGCACGTGTGTGAGCATTTGCGTGTGTGTGATCGCACATGTGTGGGCATGTGTGTGCGAGTGTGTGTATGAGCATGTGTGTGAGTATGCACATGTGTGTGTATGTGTGTGTGCGCATTTGTGTGTGCATGTATATGCGTGTGTGTATTTGTGTGTGAGTGTGTGTGTGTGTGTGTGCACGTGTGTGTCTGTTGAATCCTCTATAACTTTTTATCTCCTGGATACTTAGTTTGTCAGCGAGGACATCTGTGGTTGGGAGCTAAAGGCCCCCTTTCGATCGGTCACTGTGCCAGAGGTGCAGGCCATGGCGTTGAGCCTGGGGGGACCTGGGGGCGGGGTGAGGGGCTCTTGGCCGGGCACCATGCAGCGGGTGTTTCTCAGTTCTTTCAGGTTCTGGGTTCCCTCTGGGATATTTGTACCCAAAGAGGATTGAGTTCTTTCTGTTGATTTGTTTCCAGAAGCGTGTTTTCTGCATTCCTTCCTGTTTCACGGTTCTCTGCAAAGAGGGACAGTTCTTTCCTTATTTGGTTTGAGTTTGATTAGCAATCTCGGGGATTAGTTCAGTCTCTTTAAATTGAAATCAGTGAGAGGTAGTGAGGGTGGTGGGGGCAGCCGGGCAGGAAGCAGAGTCTGGTCCCAGTGGTTCCTCACCCCACCCTGGGGCCCTCACTGCCCACCTGTCCATCGCTGCCCACCTTTCCCATCACTGCCCACCCATCCATCACTGCCCACCCGTCCATCACTGCCCACCTGTCCATCGCTGCCCACCTTTCCCATCACTGCCCACCCATCCATCACTGCCCACCCGTCCATCACTGCCCACCTGTCCATCGCTGCCCACCTTTCCCATCACTGCCCACCCATCCATCACTGCCCACCCGTCCATCACTGCCCACCTGTCCATCGCTGCCCACCTTTCCCATCACTGCCCACCCATCCATCACTGCCCACCCGTCCATCACTGCCCACCTGTCCATCGCTGCCCACCTTTCCCATCACTGCCCACCCATCCATCACTGCCCACCCGTCCATCACTGCCCACCTGTCCATCGCTGCCCACCTTTCCCATCACTGCCCACCCATCCATCACTGCCCACCCGTCCATCACTGCCCACCTGTCCATCGCTGCCCACCTTTCCCATCACTGCCCACCCATCCATCACTGCCCACCCGTCCATCACTGCCCACCTGTCCATCGCTGCCCACCTTTCCCATCACTGCCCACCCATCCATCACTGCCCACCCGTCCATCACTGCCCACCTGTCCATCGCTGCCCACCTTTCCCATCACTGCCCACCCATCCATCACTGCCCACCCGTCCATCACTGCCCACCTGTCCATCGCTGCCCACCTTTCCCATCACTGCCCACCCATCCATCACTGCCCACCCGTCCATCACTGCCCACCTGTCCATCGCTGCCCACCTTTCCCATCACTGCCCACCCATCCATCACTGCCCACCCGTCCATCACTGCCCACCTGTCCATCGCTGCCCACCTTTCCCATCACTGCCCACCCATCCATCACTGCCCACCCGTCCATCACTGCCCACCTGTCCATCGCTGCCCACCTTTCCCATCACTGCCCACCTTCCCCATCACTGCCCACTTTCCCCATCACTGCCCACCTTGCCCATCACTGCCCACCTGTCCATTGCTGCCCACCTGCCATCTCTGCTCACCTCCCCCTGGCTGCCCACCTGCCTATCGCTGCTCACCTGCCCGTCACTGGTCCTGTGCAAAGCAGACGTGCTGACAGTGGGAACACCAGGCAGCCTGGCTCTCAGGAACTCCCGAATCCCGTGTTCCTTGTAACAACAGCAGCAGCAGCGATAGCAGCTCTCACGGGCTCTGTGGACATGTCTGTGAACCCCACACCCCGAGAGATAGGTGTGTCTCACCTCAGGCGAGGATGGAGAGGTTGTTCAGGTCACACAGGCAGCACCTGGAAGGCTGGAACTCAGGTTGACCAGCAGCCTGGACCCTGGAGTGATCCCAGCACTGGTTTTCCAGGCGAGACCGGGGTGCCCGCCATCCACGTGGCTCTCAAACAGCGTCCCCACTTTCCAGCCCAGACCTTCCTCTGAGCACCATCCTCAGCTTGACGTGAGCAGAGTCACACCGACATCATGAAATTCGGGATAAATGCGTGAAACCGCGGGAGCCCTGCGCGGGTTGCTTTCCCCAGCTGTTACCTGCATCACGTCTGAGGACGGGCCCGACGTGAGGATGTTTACGAAGAGAAACGTGATTGTCTTAGGTCTCTGCACGCTTCTCCTTCTAAGGCTACTCTCTCTTACAGGATTTCCTGTTGTCTGCTCTTTCTCTCTCCTCCGGGACTGCAGGTACATGTCTGAGGGTGTCTAGGGTTCCTGCTGTCGCTGTTTGCTTTGGAGGAATGTGCTGTCAGGCACGAATCCATCCCCCCATTATCAGTTGGCCCCCAAACTCACCCAGGAGCCCAGAGAACAGTCCATCACCTGTGAAGGGACTTCTCTCCGGGACTCGCTGCGAGCCCACTGTGTGCGGGGCACAGTGGGTCTCCTGTAGGCACCTCACGTCCAGCCGCGGGCCGGCGCCCGGGGAGGGCTGGCTTGCCTCTGACCTCTCTGTTCACCGGCACCTGGATAGGATTGTGTGTGTGTTTGTTGTCCTTCTCGTCCATAACCTGAACCTGTGTGAGGCGGCCCCTTGCCCACCTCCGTCCCTCGCACGCGCAGCCCGCCCGTCAGCAGACGGCGCTTCTGGGTGAGAGGCTGGAAGGGAAACCACAGTCGGGACCAGGGGCGGCGGCCGAGCCAGGGCTGGATGCGCGTGTCTACCAGGAACCCAGCCACCCCGTGGGCCACTGTGACTTCACAGCTCCCTCCACCTCGTTCACTAAGTGGCTTCACTCTTCCCTCGGAGGTTGCTCCGCCCAGTGGGGTGGGAGCCTGAGACAGACGCGCTGCCCCGGGGACGCGGCCATTCCCAGTCTTTATCAAGGACGTTTCTGGAAAATGCCACGTCTGCGAGAGGCCTTGGGCTCGCCCATAGCGCCCTTCTCTGCATAACTGGTCAGCGTTTTTAGGTCGGATCACAGCCGCCGCTGCCATTGGATGTGAAGTCGAGGGGCCAGCCGTCCTGGGAGAGACGCGCCCTGCGCTCGGGCCTCACTGGGAGAGATGCGCCTTGGGAGCGTCGAACACTTAGTTTTTATTGGCGATTTAGAGCCTCTCCGAGCAGACAGATAGGAAAGTAGGACTGCGATTGGGCAGGAGGCCAGGCCGGGGAGGGAGGGCGGCTTTTACCGGCGGGGGGCTCTGACTGCGCCGGACGGGGAGGCCACCCTCCCCTCCGCGGCCTCGCTCTGCTCGGGAACCGCCTCTCGTGAGCTGTGGGGCAAGATGGATGTGTCACATAGTAAAAGTTTAATGTCCGTTTAGCTAAATCGCCTGCTGCCGGCAGCTGTTGCGTTTATTTAAGAGCTCTCTGTGGCCGGGCTTCCATTTCTCCCTCCATTTATTTGCTGTCCTCCCTGGAATTTTGGTTAAACAATAAAAAATTACACTTTCAAGTTGGTGTGCAGTTGCGTACTTGAGATTGCTTGTGAGTGACATGGGGAGCCTTGAGCAGAATGGCCGCCCCCCCC